TGTGTTTCCCAATGTCATCACCAAGAGGTAGAATATATAATGAAAACAATAGTGGTCCTAAAACAGAACCTCGATGGAACACTGAAACGTACAATTGATTTGTCAGAGAACAAACCATCCACAGACACAAACTGATATCTTTCCGACAGATAAGATCTAAACCAGGCAAGAACTTGTCTGTGTAGACCAATTAGGGTTTCCAATCTCTCCAAAAGAATGTGGTGATCGATGGTGTCAAAAGCGGCACTAAGGTCTAGGAGCACGAGGACAGATGGAGAGCCTTGGTCTGACCATTAAAAGGTCATTTACCACCTTCACGAGTGCAGTCTCAGTACTATGATAGGGTCTAAAACAGACTGGAGTGTTTCGTATACGTTATTTGTCTTCAGGAAGGCAACAGCTTTTTCAAAACAAAATTGAGAGGAATGGGAGATTCGATATAGGCTATTTTTTAATTTTCTTTTTTTTATATCTGGGTCAAAGTTTGGCTTTTCAGGGGTGGCTTTATTACTGCCACTTTTAGTGAGTTTGGTACACATCTGGAAGATAGGAAGCCATTTATTATGTTCAACATAGGAGCGCAAAGCACAGGAAGTAGCTCTTTCAGTAGTAGGCAGCTGGAAGGTTTAGAGGCCATGACTATTTTCATGAATGTGTCGAGATACAGGATTAAACAACTTGAGTGTCTCCATTGACCTTAGGTCCTGGCAGTTCTGTGCAGACTCAGGACAACTGAGTTTTGAAGAAATACGCAGATTCAAAGAGGAGTCCGTCATTTGCTTTCTAATGATCATTATCTTTTCGTTGAAGAAGTTCATGAATTCATCACTGCTGAAGTGAAGACCATCCTCTCTTGGTGAATGGTGCTTTTTAGTTAGCTTTGCGACAGTATCAAAAATACATTTGGGATTGTTTTCATTCTCCTCAATTAGGTTGGAAAAGCAGTGAGGGTTCTTCGATATTGCACGGTACTGTCTCTCCAAGCTAGTCGGAAGGCTTCCAGTTTGGTGGAGCGCCATTTCCGTTCCAATGCTCAGATATTTTCTGTATAACAGGGAGCTAATTTCTTGTGGTGCGACTGCATCTAGGGTATTACACAAGGTTCAATTTAGCTCCTCGGTTAGGTGGTTAACAGATTTTTGTACTCCGACCTCCTTGGGTAGGTGGAGAGAGTCTGGAAGAGAATCTAGGAATCTTTGGGTTGTCCGAGAATTTATAGCGTGGCTTTTGATAATCCTTGGTTGGGGTCTGAGCAGATTATTTATTGCGATTACAAACGTAATAAGCTGGTAGTCCGATAGTCCAGGATTATGAGGAAAAAACATTTAGATCCACAATATTTATTCCACAGGACATAACTAGATCCAGGGTATGACTGTGGTAATGCGTAGATCCGGAGACATGTTGTACAAAACCCACTGAGTCGATGATGGCGCCAAAAGCCTTTTGGAGTGCGTCTGTGGACTTTTCCATGTGAATACTGAAGTCACCAAAAATGTGAATATTATTTGCCGTGACTACGAGGTCCGATAGGAATACAGGAAACTCAGTGAGGAACGCTGTATATGGCCCAGGAGTCCTGTAAACAGTAGCTATAGAAAGTGATTGAGTAGGCTGCATAGATTTCATGACTAGAAGCTCAAAACACGAAAACGCAGTAAAAACTAAGAAAATGAAATTGAAATTTGCTGTCGTAAATGTTAGCAACACCTCCGCGGGATGCGCGGGGGATATGGTCACCAGTGTAACCAGGAGGAGAGGCCTCATTTAACACAGTAAATTCATCAGGCTTGAGCCATGTTTCAGTCAATCACATCAAGGTTATGATCAGTGATTAGTTAATTGACTATGACTGCCTTGGAAGTGAGGGATCTAACATTAAGTAGTCCTATTTTGAGATGTGAGATATTATCACAATCTCTTTCAATAATGACAGGAATGGAGGAGGTCTTTATTCCAGTGAAATTGCTAAGGTGAACACCGCCATGTTTTGTTTTGCTCAACCTAGATCGAGGCACAGACACGCTCTCAACGGGGATAGCTGAGCTGACTACACTGACTGTCCTAGTGGCAGACTCCGCTACGCTGGCAGGCTGGCTAACAGCCTGCTGCCTGGCCTGCACCCTGTCTCATTGTGGAGCTAGAGGAGTTAGAGCCCTGTCTATGTTGATAAATAAGATGAGAGCACCCCTCCAGCTAGGATGGAGTCCGTCACTCCTCAGCAGGCCAGGCTTGGTCCTGTTTGTGGGGGAGTCCCAGAAAGAGGGCCAGTTATCTACAAATTCTATATTTTGGGAGGGGCAGAAAACATTATTCAACCAGCGATTGAGTTGTGAACTCTGCTTTACTGTTCTGTACTGTGCTGTCCAAACTTGTGAAACATAGACATCTATGATTGGTACAGATTTGGTCCGGTCTGGACCAACCAAATTGGGTCTTGTTTGGGGGCGGAGCTCATTAGAATAATATCCAGTGTGTAGAATAATACCCAAACATGCAAAGGGGGATATTAAATGTTTCTACCTTTGTGTACTTATTCAGGATACATCACCGGGAAGAGAATGACATTCATAATTATGCATTTCTGTATAGTACAGATAAGGGACCCATGATGCCATTTTGTTACCGGGTGTTAATCCACTTAATTTACTGTGGTTCAATAACCAAAATAGATTTTTTTTCAATCTCAAGGTTTCAAATCATGGCTGACACCCAAAAAACGGAGGGAGATTTTACCGTCATTCTGTTACCAAACTTGACATCTGCACTGCTCTTCGAGTAAATGTGTTTTTGTAAAGTTTTCGGTGGAATTTGTTAAAAGTAGTCCTTGTGCATAGAGATGTATGGTTGGTTTAACTTTGCAATCAATGGTTTTGTTTGGCATACTTTTAATGTGAAAAATCTCAGCGTCATTCTGTTACCGTGGAATTGCCCTAAAGCTATATTGAAAACAGCTAGCTACTTGTTTTTCCAAGAAAGCAGTGATTTTAGTTTGCGGCCCGGGCCTACCTTTATGAGTCGCTTTTAAAAGTTCATATTCTGTTAACTTGTACCCAATGAATGTTGTTTACTCGTCCTATACTCGTATTTGTGGCCAAAGCATACATTGGAGAAAAAACACCTCAAAATCCTCCTCAAATTGACATTTCAAAAATGCTTGCTATTTCCTCATAGAGGATGATGTCATCCTCTGGCCAATCAGCGGTCTACTCACATTAATATTTTTAATGACTGGTATATTACACTCACACCATTCTGTTGTTGGGGTACGCCCACACCATTCCAACACAGAAAAGCTGCTTTTTAACATTTTAATTACCCATTTTTGGAAGGAACACTATTTAACTCATTGTAATTTATTATAGGTCAGCTAGACCAGTTGATTTGACAGAAAAGTAAGCTAGCTGGCTACCTTGTTTTATTCAAACCAAGTCCTTCTAACCTAAATATATCGCTAGAGATTTTCAAGGACATTGTTTAGAGGCTAGGTTAGATTGGAGGCGAATTTGCAAAGTGAATCTGTTTTATTAGCTAACACGTTTCATCCTATGAAATGTGGCCAGCTCTTGGGTGAGCCAGCCCACATGCTGGGGGGAACTGGGAAATGTTTACAGAGCGGGCGTCAGTTTTACTGTCATAAACAAGGTTTCAATCCAATTGGTGACAGATTTTTCATGCGAATATTCAAAAAATCTTCATAAAAACGAAATATGAGCATTTTCCAACCAGAGATGTTTCGATCAAATTGACTTGTTGCGGATAAAAGGCTACGTGATGACGTAGTGCACATAAAAATACATTTTGCAGTTAAATTCCCATTAAAATAATTAAAAGTGAAATGGGTTTCCATTGCATTTTCAGCTTTACTGATGGTTTTCTCACAAAAAATGTTGCGTTATATAGCGAGTGTGCCCACTCTGGTATTGGCACGTGTGCTCTTGCCAACAGCTCGCTTACAGTGCGGTTATATGGTGATATTATTATGGACAACATTTGTATTTGTCAAACGGCAGCCAAGAATCGATGATTGTCACCAGAGTAAGATCCTTGATATTTATTGGAAAGGAGCATCAAGCTCATCAACTTGCACTTTCACCACCCTGTTTAAGTTCATCATAATTTATTGTAGCATAATAAACTGAATGCTTTCCCGGCGAGTCGTAGTAGGAGGACCACACATGTCACCGCATGACTGCCAAGTTTACATCGATATGATGGTTATTATATCAATATTTGCGCATAAAAGCGTTTCTACCGACCTTTCTTGCATAATTAATATGACAGAAACAAAAAGATCCCATCTTGTCTAGCGTATTTTGTTTCCATCAGCCTGTCGTGACATTTTTATCTGACATGTACTTTACTCGCATTAAAAGGTTGAATGGAAACCTGCTTAGTGATAAATCAGAGGCTTCAAAAAGGTCTATCCTGGCTTCATTCTATCCTGTCTGACTAAATATCTAGCAAGATAGTTTGTTCAGCGCTAGTCTGTCTACTAGCCTAATTATGTTGGTTGACAGCGACAACCAGCTGTCAAGACATGTCGCTTGAGGCTGTATCTCAATAGTTTCAGTAGCTTCCTCTCATCTCTTCTTATACAGCTGCTGATTCTGCACTTATCTAAGAATAATAGGATAGGTCAAATCAACATGGTGGATGCCTACCAGGTATTTGCTTTCACATGTCGAGTTCTTTATTTATCAATGTAGATGAAGCAAAAGAGCCAAGGAGGGGAAGTTATTGTAGGCTTCTTCTAAATACATAGCGCTGCTGTAGATATTGAGATGCTCCCTCTGTCTTGGGTGTCTGACTGACCTAATATCCCCCTGAGCAGCTGGAGCTTGCAGCTAGCAGTATCAGTGGGCTATGTGCCAGGGACTTGACTGACATCTGGGATTCCCATGCACGTCTATTAATAGGTTTAAGCGATTGAGCTGTGAGTTAGAATGTTGTGGGCTTGTTGTGTTGACATGTCAGTGTTTCTTCCTTCCATTCCACAGGTTCCGGTTGCTAAGGTCGGTGGCGTCCCTGACAACCAGGACGTTCTCCCTGGGGCCTGTATCTCTGCAGGGGAAGGGCCTGGACATGTCTGAGGGTAAGGCCATACACACTTGACTGACTGATTGACTGACTGATTAAGTGATTTATATATTGATTTGTTGATTGATTGATTAATTGATTAACTGACTCACTCACTGTTATGAAGTTCATTTCCACTACTCTTGGGGTATGATGGCAAGACTAGAGGACATTGAGACTCCATCTAGTCTCCTCTTCTGACCTCTAACCCATGACTTGTTTTGTGTCTCCACAGGAAATGCTCACTTGCTAATGTCCAATGGTGTGTTGGTAACCTGAATCCTAATTGTATAAAACACTTACTTAATTCAGTCTTAATTCAACTTAATCCTGCCTGCATGTAGTTTAGCTGTCTCTCAAACACACTGCCTTGAACACAAACGCTCTCCTCTCTCTCTCTCTCTCTCTCTCTCTCTCTCTCTCTCTCTCTCTCTCTCTCTCTCTCTCTCTCTCTCTCGATATCCAGCAACATGTGGTCTGTTGAGCTGGTTGTACAGCCTTGTTTCCCTCTTCCATTTCTTACAGACTGAACTATGAATGCACCCGTGGCCTGTGGCAGTGGCTGGCACCTCTTAACGATGCTGCTGTACCCTATTCTATAGAATATAGACCTTCACTGTTCTCTATACTGACTGTATTTTCATCAGAGATGGACCCTCAGGATGTCTTGAGCTGGTTGCTGTCTTGGTCATCTCTCTCTCTCCCTCAAGTGTCTTGTTTAATATCGTCTCAACATTATGACATCACAGTGACGCCAGTCAGGTGGGCCACAAACCAATAGGCAAATCTCAAATTACACCTGATTACCTTGTCAGTGCACTACTGATTTCTCCCCATTGCGTGCACACCCTCGAGCTGCAGCGCAAAGCCACTCAGTGGCTCCATATGCTAGCTGGAACAACAGTGGAGCTGATATTGTGTATCCTTCCCAGACCTCGCCTATGGGGCGGCGCACAATTGGCCCAGCGTCATCCAGGGTAGGGGAGGGAATGGCCGGCAGGGATGTACAGTGGGGAAAAAAAGTATTTAGTCAGCCACCAATTGTGCAAGTTCTCCCACTTAAAAAGATGAGAGAGGCCTGTAATTTTCATCATAGGTACACCTCAACTATGACAGACAAATTGAGAAAAAAAAATCCAGAAAATCACATTGTAGGATTTTTAATGAATTTATTTGCAAATTATGGTGGAAAATAAGTATTTGGTCACCTACAAACAAGCAAGATTTCTGGCTCTCACAGACCTGTAACTTCTTCTTTAAGAGGCGCCTCTGTCCTCCACTTGTTACCTGTATTAATGGCACCTGTTTGAACTTGTTATCAGTATAAAAGACACCTGTTCACAACCTCAAACAGTCACACTCCAAACTCCACTATGGCGAAGACCAAAGAGCTGTCAAAGGACACCAGAAACAAAATTGTAGACCTGCACCAGGCTGGGAAGACTGAATCTGCAATAGGTAAGCAGCTTGGTTTGAAGAAATCAACTGTGGGAGCAATTATTAGGAAATGGAAGACATACAAGACCACTGATAATCTCCCTCGATCTGGGGCTCCACGCAAGATCTCACCCCGTGGGGTCAAAATGATCACAAGAACGGTGAGCAAAAATCCCAGAACCACACGGGGGGACCTAGTGAATGACCTGCAGAGAGCTGGGACCAAAGTAACAAAGCCTACCATCAGTAACACACTACGCCGCCAGGGCCTCAAATCCTGCAGTGCAAGACGTGTCCCCCTGCTTAAGCCAGTACATGTCCAGGCCCGTCTGAAGTTTGCTAGAGTGCATTTGGATGATCCAGAAGAGGATTGGGAGAATGTCATATGAAACCAAAATAGAACTTTTTGGTAAAAACTCAACTGGTCGTGTTTGGAGGACAAAGAATGCTGAGTTGCCTCCAAAGAACACCATACCTACTGTGAAGCATGGGGGTGGAAACATCATGCTTTGGGGCTGTTTTTCTGCAAAGGGACCAGGACGACTGATCCGTGTAAAGGAAAGAATGAATGGGGCCATGTATCGTGAGATTTTGAGTGAAAACCTCCTTCCGTCAGCAAGGGCATTGAAGATGAAACGTGGCTGGGTCTTTCAGCATGACAGTGATCCCAAACACACCGCCCGGGCAACGAAGGAGTGGCTTCGTACGAAGCATTTCAAGGTCCTGGATTGGCCTAGCCAGTCTCCAGATCTCAACCCCATAGAAAATATTTGGAGGGAGTTGAAAGTCTGTGTTGCCCAGCGACAGCCCCAAAACAGCACTGCTCTAGAGGAGATCTGCATGGAGGAATGGGCCAAAACAGTGTGTGACAACCTTGTGAAGACTTACAGAAAACATTTGACCTGTGTCATTGCCAACAAAGGGTATATAACAAACTATTGAGAAACTTTTGTTATTGACCAAATACTTATTTTTCACCGTAGCTTAGGTTGATTTTGTATTTGGCATGACTGTTTGATGAAATTAACTCATCTTTTAAGGATGTGGGCTATTTTTTTCCCCACTGTAGCTTAGTTGGTAGAGCATGGCGTTTGCAACGCCAGGGATGTGGGTTCGATTCCCACGGGGGGCTAGTATGAAAAAATAAAAAATTAATGTATGCACTCACTAACTGTAAGTCGCTCTGGATAAGAGCGTCTGCTAAATGACGTAAATTTAAATGTAAAATGTAGTCTCTGTAGCTTGCTGCTGTCATTCTGTCTGAGGTCATATGATTCCCATTGCACGTTCTGTTCTGAGCACAGAATCAGTACACACACACACACACTCAGAGCTGATCAACTGTGTGGTTGTTTTTCAGTGCGCAACAGGCTGAGAGAGATTGTGGGAGCGTCTACTAACTGGAGGTACAGTAACAGAAGCAGTAAAGCTACTTTGTAATGAGATATTGATACCATGACAGGAAGGCCTGTGTTTACTTGTTATAGATGTTTATGACCTTGTTAAACTCACAGCTCATTCCTGATGTATCTCTCTTTCCCTATCTCCCATCCTGTAGAGACCACCAGCAGGCGTTAGCTGACCGTTTGTCATTGTCCAATCAGCTGGCTGGTTCTCAGGATGAGCTTCCTGTCCGCAGGATGAAGGACAGCTACATAGAGGTCCACCTTCCCCTGGGCACAGACCCTACACTTAGAGAGAAATACCTCAACTACCACAAAGGTGTCAGGTAATACATGCAGATACACGCTCACACACACACACACACACACACACACACTTCCTTTCCCCCGTCTCAGTCTGGTGTCTGTATTCCAGGTTTGGCCGTATCCTGGAGGATCTGGACAGTCTAGCAGGTAGGACCATATGACATCATCACCTCAACAACAAACTGGTACATGGTATTACACTGGTATTACTATTCTCTCTCTCTCTCTCTCTCTCTCTCTCTCTCTCTCTCTCTCTCTCTCTCTCCCACTCAGTGTTGATCTGTTACTCTCACACCCATAACAAGGCACTTCCGAGATCTCCTCTGTCCATCGTCACTGCCCTGGTGGACAAGATAGGTATGACGCCCAACAGTCCTGATAAAACACCAGGATGTACTGTATAGACCAGTGCAGTGTTTCTCAAATCTAATCCATGGACACCTTTTCCTAGTGTCATTGAATATATAAAGTTTGTTACTGTTGCATTCTGGTAGTTGTGGCTAATTTTCCCTGTATGTGATGTCACAGACATGAGGAAACACATCATCCACCCTGACTGTGACATCAAGTTCACTGGTCACGTGACCTGGGTGGGGAAGACCTCCATCGAAGCCAAGATGCACATGTCTCAGGTACACACACACACACACACACACACACATACACACACACACAGTAATATACTAATGTCCACAATAGTGATGTTATGTCTGTGTGTATGTACAGTACCATGACGGGGCCTACACTCCAGTTCTAGATGCTACGTTTGTTATGGTGGCCAGGGACCCTGAGAACAAGAGGTATACAACATCCATCTAATCATCCAACCATCCATCCATCCAACCGTCCATCCAATCATCCATAGTATCCAACCATCCATCCATAGTATCCATCCATGACTGATGTCTCTATTGCTTTGTCTGTCTCTGTCTCTCTCAGGGCAGCGTTTGTTAACCCTCTGAAGCCAGAGGGGCCTGAGGAGGAGGAACTGTTTCAACAGGGAGAGAGTAAGATGCACTACATACATATGTGTATATATTACTGTGTGTTTGTTTCTATTATTTACTGTGTGTGTGTGTGTGTGTGTGTGTGTGTGTGTGTGTGTGTGTGTGTGTGTGTGTGTGTGTGTGTGTGTGTGTGTGTGTGTGTGTGTGTGTGTGTGTGTGTGTGTGTGTGTGTGTGTGTGTCTCCCTCCAGTCAATAAGACGCGTCGTATAGAGCTGAGCACAGCGTCTCTGCTGAAGGTGGCCCCTACTGCTGAGGAGAGGAAGATCGTACACAGCCTGTTCCTCAACACCCTGGACACCAAGTACTACACACACACAACACACACACACACACACATATATATATATATATATATATATACACACACACACACACACAAATATACACACACACACAAATATACACACACACACATACATATATTTTTTTTACGTAAACTATAAGCAACTCAACTTCCATAGTGTATCTTTAAATCACAATGATCACTTTCAGGATACACGTGACCATACAGGACTTATTGCAGTCATATTTTGTCATATCAAATTGCTGTCACATTGATGTTCCCAGTAAAATGAGATAAAAGTTCACTTAAGGTAGCAACAATCTTAATTGACTATTCGCACCCATTGTACAAACACATACATTTATAAGTCATAAAAATCTAAAAAGAGCAAACTCACTGAATCATAAGCTGTTCAAAATATTATGTATTTTTTTTTTGCTTCACTGTCCAATTACAAGTGTTACCTAATTTAATTATGACAACACACACATCATAAAATCCTTTAGTGTGTGGTGATGGTCTGTCTGTCTGTTGTCCTGTAGGACAGTGAGTTTCCGTAGCAGAGTTCTGCCTCCTAACTCAGTATGGATGGAGGATGCCAAAGTCAAAGGATTGGAGATCTGCCATCCACAGGTTAGAGAGAGGGAAGGAGGGAGAGGGGAGAGGGAGGCAGAGATATTTACAACCTGAAACATTTCTACTTTGTGCTGAGTAAGGTGTGTTTGTGTTTTTTCAGGAGAGGAATATCTTTAACAGGATCTTTGGAGGGTTTCTAATGAGGAAAGCTTACGAGCTGGGCTGGGCTAACGCATGCGCCTATGGGTGAGTGAGCGAGTGTGTTCCCAGCAAACCGAGAATATTCCTAGTTACATTGTGACCTTATGACATGTACCCTAAACACACCTCAGCAATTATGTCTGGATTTAATGAAATTGGTTCTGCGAAAATATTACAGGAATGTTCTGTTAATGTTTATGGAGATGTTATGGGTGTTTTGAATAACATCAACATCAAACAAGGAACATTCCCACAAGACTCTCATAAAGTTATAGTGTAATGTTTTGACTTATATGATTGTCCCAATAACGTTCCCTAAACATTCACAAAACCAATTTAGGTTTTCTGGGTTGTGTGGACCGGTACAAATGAGAAGATATACATTTGTATCGGTCCACCACATACACCTGCGCATCCTCATTGTGTGTGTGTTCTCTCTCTCTCTCTCTGCTCCAGGGGGTGTCGGCCTAACCTGGTTGCCGTGGACGATATCCTCTTCCAGAAGCCTGTAGAGATTGGGTCCCTACTCCTGCTCTCGTCACAGGTGTGTGCACACACAAGCATATGCATTGTGTGTTATATGATCTGCTCCAGTTTCAGTGCTGAAACGTCCCTCTCTCTGCAGGTGTGTTACACACAGGGGAAGTACATCCAGGTCAGAGTTCATACAGAGGTTCTTGACCCCCTGACTCGGCAGCACAACACCACTAATGTCTTCCACTTCACCTTCGTCACAGACAAAGACATCCCCAACATAGTGCCACAGAGCTACGGAGGTATGACCTCTAAGCCCTGACCTTTTAACTCTAACCTTAACTAATGCCGCATTCAAGTCATGTCGGAAACTCAGGACATCCTAGTTAAAATGAACATTATTTACGTAGAGCTTCCTATTGGTTGATTCTTATCCTTCTGTTGTCTCGGGTATCTTTCTACAACGAGTAAGCAAGTTGGAAATGTCAGAGTCTTCGAGTTTCCGACATGCCGTGAACTCAGCAATAATACCGCAGAGCTACCGAGGTATGACCTCTAACCCCTGACCTTTAAACTCTAACCCTAACATAGTACTGCAGAGCTACGGAGGTACTGTTACTGGAACGTTTGTGCCAACAGAAAGAGATTAAAGTTATTGTAATGTTTTTACTGTAGATTCCACACAGTCTAACATTGGCCGTATGTGTCTGTCTCCATAGAGTCCATGTTGTACCTGGATGGAAAGAGACACTTTAACCAGACACTGGAGTCTCAGTGAGACGTGATGAACACTGACGAACCCTGACCCAACACAACAACTGCCTGCCAAAGCCTTAGTGTCCAGCCACCGCCCCCGCCCTCCTTACCGTACGCTCTGCGTGTTTGTGTGTGTGTCTACTTGCATGACAAGGTATCTATTCATTTGTTAACCTCAATATGTACCATATATATATATATATATATATATATATATATATATATATATATATATATATATACATACACACACACACACACACACACACAGTACCAGTCAAAAGATTGGACACACCTACTCACTCAAGGGTTTTTCTTTATTTTTTACTATTTTCTACATTGTAGAATAATAGTGAAGACATCAACTATGAAATAACACATACGGAATCATGTAGTAACCAAAAACGTGTTAAACAAATCAAAATATATTTTATATTTTAGATTCTTCAAAGTAGCCACCCTTTGCCTTGATGACAGCTTTGGCATTCTCTCAACCAGCTTCATGAGGTAGTCACCTGGAATGCATTTCAATTAACAGGTGTGCCTTGTTAAAAGTAAATTTGTGGAATTTATTTCCTTCTTAATGCGTTTGAGCCAATCAGTTGTGTTGTGACAAGGTAGGGGTGGTATACAGAAGATAGCCTTATTTGGTAAATGACCAAGTCCATATTATGGCAAGAACAGCTCAAATAAGCAAAGAGAAACAACAGTCCATCATTACTTTAAGACATGAAGGTCTGTCAATCTGGAAAATGTCAAGAACTTTGAAAGTTTCTTCAAGTGCAGTCGCAAAAACCATCAAGCGCTATGATGAAACTGGCTCTCATGAGGACCGCCACAGGAAAGGAAGACCCAGAGTTACCTCTGCTGCAGAGGATAAGTTCATTAGAGTTAACTGCACCTCAGATTGCAGCCCAAATAAATGCTTCACAGCATTCAAGTAACAGACACATCTCAACATCAACTGTTCAGAGGAGACTGCGTGAATCAGGCCTTCATGGTCGAATTGCTGCAAAGAAACCACTACTAAAGGACACAAATAAGAAGAAGAGACTTGCTTGGGCCAAGAAACACGAGCATTACATTTACATTTTACATTTTAGTCATTTAGCAGACACTCTTATCCAGAGCAATTTACAGAGAGAGCAATGGACATTAGACTGGTGGAAATCTGTCCTTTGGTCTGATGAGTCCAAATTTGAGATTTCTGGTTCCAACAGCCGTGTCTTTGTGAGACACAGAGTAGGTGAACGGATTATCTCCGCATGTGTGGTCCCACCATGAAGCATGGAGGAGGGGGTGTGATGGTGCTTTGCTGATGACGCTGTCAGTGATTTATTTAGAATTCAAGGCACACTTAACCAGCATTTCCTGATTATGGTGGCCACAGAGAATCTGCTCAAATTGGGTTGTACTTTTTGTCCTGCTTCCCTCATTGTCATTCCATGAACAACAACATGGTCTATCACAGTTGCTCAAATTTCTTCTGAAATTACTGTTCTTGGTCTTGGTCTTGCTCTTCCTCGTCCTCGTACTCTTCCTCCTCGTCCACCACCTCTTACACGTACTCTCCTCCTCTGCCTCTCAGATTGTTTCCATCCATTGTTGGTATCAACATTCAATGCACCTGTGCCACCTGTGCACTCTGAACTGGCTTATATTCTGTACAATTGGTTTGATCACATCATTAGAAACAAGTGTGAACAATTTGGAGTCATTGTGTGTAAACGATGACAACTGTGTTGTAGTTGTGTTTAACTTTTGCCGTCTGTGTTTACCATTTTGTAACACAAGTGCATCACAGTGCGAAATGTGTTTTAGTGAGTGAGAATGTGTTTAGAGTTTTGCAAAAATACTGATTGATTCAACAAATGGGTTTATGCCACTGAGCATTTGGTTCAGAGAATGGGGCGTAATGTTTTAGCAATTCAGAAAAACTGTAATTGCCTACCATCTGTATGCTGTTAGTGTCTTATCGGAACATTCCACAGGTGCATGTTCATTAATTGTTTATGGTTCATTGAACAAGCATGGAAAACAGTGTTTAAACTCTTTACAATGAAGATCTGTGAAGTTATTTGGATTTGTACGAATTATCTTTGAATGACAGGGTCCTGAAAAAGGGACGTTTCTTTTTTTGCTGAGTTTATATACAGTTGAAGTCGGAAGTTTACATACACCTTAGCCAAATACATTTAAACTCAGTTTTTCACAATTCCTGACATTTAATCCTAGTAAAAAGTCCCTGTCTTAGGTCAGTTAGGATCACCACTTTTATTTTAAGAATGTGAAATGTCAGAATAATAGTAGAGAGTGATTTTGTTTCAGCTTTTATTTCTTTCATCACATTCCCAGTGGGTGAGAAGTTTACATACACTCAATTAGTATTTGGTAGCATTACCTTTAAATTGTTTAACTTGGGTCAAACGTTTCGGGTAGCCTTCCACACAGAGCTGGTGTAACTGAGTCATGTTTGTAGGCCTCCTTGCTCGCACACGCTTTTTCAGTTCTGCTCACAAATGTTCAATAGGATTGAGGTCAGGGCTTTGTGATGGCCACTCCAATACCTTGACTTTGTTGTCCAACTTTGGAAGTATGCTTGGGGTCATTGTCCATTTGGAAGACCCATTTGCGACCAAGCTTTAACTTCCTGACTGATGTCTTGAGATGTTGCTTCAATATATCCACATAATTTTCCTTCCTCATGATGCCATCTATTTTGTGAAGTGCACCAGTCCCTCCTGTGGCAAAGCACCCCCACAGCATGATGCTGCCACCCCCGTGCTTCATGGTTGGGATGGTGTTCTTCAGCTTGCAAGCAACCCCCTTTTTCCTCCAAATATAACAATGGTCATTATGGCCAAACAGTTCTATTTTTGTTCCATCAGACAAGAGGACATTTCTCCAAAAAGTACGATCTTTGTCCCCATGTGCAGTTGCAAACCGTAGTCTGGCTTTTTTATGGCGGTTTTGGAGCAGTGGCTTCTCCTTGCTAGGAGACAGAACGTGTCTCCTTCCTGAGCGGTATGACGGCTACGTGGTCTCATGGTGTTTACACTTGCGTACTATTGTTTGTACAGATGAACGTGGTACCTTCAGGCGTTTGGAAATTGCTCCCAAGAATGAACCAGACTTGTGGAGGTCTACAATTTTTTTTCTGAGGTCTTGGTTGATTTCTTTTGATTTTCCCATTATGTCAAGCAAAGAGGCACTGAGTTTGAAGGTAGGACTTGAAATACATCTACAGGTACACCTCCAATTGACTCAGATGATGTCAATTAGCCTATCAGAAGCTTCTAAAGCCATGACATCATTTTCTGGAATTTTCCAAGCTGTTTAAAGGCACAGTCAACTTAGTGTATGTAAACTTCTGACCCACTGGAATTGTGATACAGTGAATTATAAGTGAAATAATCTGTCTGTAAACAATTGTTGGAAAAATTACTTGTGTCATGCACAACGTAGATGTCCTAACTGACTTGCCAAAACTATAGTTTGTTAATAAGAAATGTGTGGAGTGGTTGAAAAATGAGTTTTAATGACTCCAACCTAAGTGTATGTAAACTTCCGACTTCAACTGTGTATATATGTATATATATGTATGTATGTATGTATGTATGTATGTATGTATGTATATATATATATATATATATATATATATATATATATATATATATATATATATACATACATACATACATACATACATACATACATACATACATACATACATACATACATACATACATACATACATACATACATACATACATACATACATACATACATACATACATACATACATACATACATACAGTGGGGAGAACAAGTATTTGAAACACTGCCAATTTTGCAGGTTTTCCTACTTACAAAGCATGTAGAGGTCTGTAATTTTTATCATAGGTACACTTCAACTGTGAGAGACGGAATCTAAAACAAAAATCCAGAAAATCACATTGTATGATTTTTAAGTAAATAATTAGCATTTTATTGCGTGACATAAGTATTTGATACATCAGAAAAGCAGAACTTAATATTTGGTACAGAAACCTTTGTTTTATTTTATTTATTTTTATTTATTTATATATATATATATATATATATATATATTATTATTATTTTTTTTCATAATAGGACTTTATTAATTGCATATATGAAATCGTTTTTTCAACACACCAATAATCTCCACATCCAAACAGGTACTAATTTGTGACATATCCAAAACACGTCCATCACGCTTAGATTCTCTTCGCATTTTAACCTTAGTGACATTATCACTCCCTCCAGGAAATACACGACGCCGCTGTTCTGGTTACTGATGGATTTATTCTTCTACTAAATTCTCCACCGTTATCAATCCACCGTCGAACTGTTTAAATACATTTCAACACATGCACAAAAAAACAAGTTGGCGTTCACGTTACAGAAACCTTGCACGTAAATATGCGCGACAAATAATTAACATAATGAACATACCTCGCTGGCTGCACACAACTGAGAGGGAAATGGGTCCACTTAGAAACAAGAATACTTGTAAATAAACACGTCGTTAATTTAACTTATCTTTCAGAGTACTAAACTTTACCGCCGCTACTTTACCGCGATGTCTGGAACTTGTCACCACTAAAAGCGTCCCAACACAACATAGGAACTATCTGTACATTCTATCACATAAATACAAGCAAAATCAATATTCAAAATACAAGTTGTACAAATAATAATGATATTATGTAAAACCTATTAATAATGACATGAATAACATTAATAATAACATGAATAACATTTATGGCAGTTAAAGACATCTTTGTAAAGACCCCCCATTTTAAAGCTGTATTAAGAGGATTGGGTGAGGGAGGGGTGCTAGACAACAGGTCATCAAACATGCACAAACATTCATTTGAATTGGTCCCATGGTCAAACAAACAAACCAACCAACATTAAAAACACAGCTTTGAGTCCTCAGGCCATCGAACTGAACAGTTAGAGGTCTATATAACCTGTAGATGGGTAATAACAGAAAGAAAGTACAGTTCTGAAGCGCAGACCGCCCATTAATTACCATGGAAACGCCATTAACCTTTTAAAAACACAGGAAATGATTACTAATATCCAATTCATGAAGATAATTGCATGTAGCATGTGGTGCATGCATCAATAAAAGCGAAATGAATGATCTATGAGCAGTGAATACAATGGTATTGAGTAGTATGTGTGTAGAAGGGTTTATATTTATCTAATTTTCCTCAATTAATATACAGATGACAGGATTCATGTTTGATTCCCAAATCATGGGAGAAGATTCAATGTTACTTTTGGACTCCTAGCCATGCTGATTCTCATAGCAATATAATGACAGACAGGAGCAGTGCATATTCTGTCAGTCAACACACAGGTCTGCATTTGGTCACCAACGCCACGGCACTCCTTCCCATAACACTGGTGTGTGTGTCTTCAGAGGGAAAACCAGCAACAAGCTTTTGCCGACCACTGAGAAAGATTAACAAATATAGTGTCTCATTATATAGTCCTGAGATGTCCTATAATAACCCTATGATAGATGTCCTATAATAACCCTAACCCTATGACAGATGTCCTATGATATCAGACAAGGCAGAGAGAACAAGAGGCTGTCTCACTCAGTAAGTGCTTCTGTGCAACAGTCCTTTCTCATACAGTCATTGATCTGCAGTAAGTGTCAACAGAAAGTAGAGCCATTCAGGAATATTGTAGCCATCTCTGGATGACATGCGGCAATCCCGGTCAGCTAATATAGCTCTTAAGTACGGAGGGATGACTCGGTCCAATCAGAAAAGAGCGAGAGAGGCTGCTTCCTGGACCCAGTCCAATCAGAGGAGAGAAAGAGTGTCTGCTTCCTGGAAGCGGTAGGCTGCTGTTATCTGGGTGAGACGGGAGGGCTGGAGAAGACTGCAGAGCTGCGAGGTGATTGGATGGGGCTGGTGAAGACAGCAGAGCTGCGAGGTGATTGGAGGCCGAGGGAATGGTGGGAGGGGGAGGTGGGGGACATCTTGTGGGGGCTGCTCGGGTCCCCGTTGTGCAGCTTCCAGATGAGCTCCTCATTCTCCATAGACAGACGCTTGTTCACCTTGGATTCCTTGTGGAGATACTCCTGCAGCACCGCCTGCTCTGTGGACAGTTGTCAGTGTGTCCATCTGCATCAGTTTGTGGTCCTGTTGGTGCAGCTGTTTGTTCTTGATATCCAGCACCACATTGAGGCTCTCCACCTCCTGCTCCAGATACAGGGAGTCCTTCTGCAAGGTCATCAGTTCCTGGGACAGGTCCCTGCGCTGCTTAATGACCTCATCACGCTCTGCCAGGGTCTGCTGCAGCACCACCACAATGGCCTCAAATTTCCTGTTACTGGCAGCCAGGAGTCCCTGGAGCTGCTGGGGGCTCTGGTTCTTCCTCTCGCATGGTGCCCGGTAGCTCTCCGTGCCCGCTGCCCTGCCCTCCGCCAGCACCAGGTCTGGATGCCTATTGCTCTGGGGCGGCGATGGTACTGGTGACCGCTGTTGAGGCTGTGGGTGGCTCCGTGGTGTCGCCCTCGGTCTGTTCTTGTCCACAGGTAATACAGCGGCAGGACGAAGAAGTCTTGATGAAGCAGTTCTTTTCAGAGTGCTGGCTCTGGACCTTGAGGGCACCTGATTGGTCGACGCTGTAGTTTTGCATCCTGCTTTTAACACTGTGGTCTTGGATGAGGCTGGTCTTCCCACACACCCCTGGGCTGCTCCTGCAGAAACTTGTACGTTACCTGTGCTGCCACTGTGCTCATTGTGGACACTGATTCTCTTCGCATTTTAACCTTAGTGACATCTTTGTAAAGACCCCCCATTTTAAAGCTGTATTAAGAGGATTGGGTGAGGGAGGGGTGCTAGACAACAGGTCATCAAACATGCACAAACATTCATTTGAATTGGTCCCATGGTCAAACAAACAAACCAACCAACATTAAAAACACAGCTTTGAGTCCTCAGGCCATCGAACTGAACAGTTAGAGGTCTATATAACCTGTAGATGGGTAATAACAGAAAGAAAGTACAGTTCTGAAGCGCAGACCGCCCATTAATTACCATGGAAATGCCATTAACCTTTTAAAAACACAGGAAATGATTACTAATATCCAATTTATGAAGATAATTGCATGTAGCATGTGGTGCATGCATCAATAAAAGCGAAATAAATGATCTATGAGCAGTGAATACAATGGTATTGAGTAGTATGTGTGTAGAAGGGTTTATATTTATCTAATTTTCCTCAATTAATATACAGATGACAGGATTCATGTTTGATTCCCAAATCATGGGAGAAGATTCAATGTTACTTTTGGACTCCTAGCCATGCTGATTCTCATAGCAATATAATGACAGACAGGAGCAGTGCATATTCTCAGTCAGTCAACACACAGGTCTGCATTTGGTCACCAACGCCACGGTACTCCTTCCCATAACACTGGTGTGTGTGTGTGTGTGTCTTCAGAGGGAAAACCAGCAACAAGCTTTTGCCGACCACTGAGAAAGATTAACAAATATAGTGTCTCATTATATAGTCCTGAGATGTCCTATAATAACCCTATGATAGATGTCCTATAATAACCCTAACCCTATGACAGATGTCCTAAAATAACCCTAACCCTATGATAGATGTCCTAAAATAACCCTAACCCTATGACAGATGTCCTAAAATAACCCTAACCCTATGATAGATGTCCTATAATAACCCTAACCCTATGACAGATGTCCTATGATATCAGACAAGGCAGAGAGAACAAGAGGCTGTCTCACTCAGTAAGTGCTTCTGTGCAACAGTCCTTTCTCATACAGTCATTGATCTGCAGTAAGTGTCAACAGAAAGTAGAGCCATTCAGGAATATTGTAGCCATCTCTGGATGACATGCGGCAATCCCGGTCAGCTAATATAGCTCTTAAGTACGGAGGGATGACTCGGTCCAATCAGAAAAGAGCGAGAGAGGCTGCTTCCTGGACCCAGTCCAATCAGAGGAGAGAAAGAGTGTCTGCTTCCTGGAAGCGGTAGGCTGCTGTTATCTGGGTGAGACGGGAGGGCTGGAGAAGACTGCAGAGCTGCGAGGTGATTGGATGGGGCTGGTGAAGACAGCAGAGCTGCGAGGTGATTGGAGGCCGAGGGAATGGTGGGAGGGGGAGGTGGGGGACATCTTGTGGGGGCTGCTCGGGTCCCCGTTGTGCAGCTTCCAGATGAGCTCCTCATTCTCCATAGACAGACGCTTGTTCACCTTGGATTCCTTGTGGAGATACTCCTGCAGCACCGCCTGCTCTGTGGACAGTTGTCAGTGTGTCCATCTGCATCAGTTTGTGGTCCTGTTGGTGCAGCTGTTTGTTCTTGATATCCAGCACCACATTGAGGCTCTCCACCTCCTGCTCCAGATACAGGGAGTCCTTCTGCAAGGTCATCAGTTCCTGGGACAGGTCCCTGCGCTGCTTAATGACCTCATCACGCTCTGCCAGGGTCTGCTGCAGCACCACCACAATGGCCTCAAATTTCCTGTTACTGGCAGCCAGGAGTCCCTGGAGCTGCTGGGGGCTCTGGTTCTTCCTCTCGCATGGTGCCCGGTAGCTCTCCGTGCCCGCTGCCCTGCCCTCCGCCAGCACCAGGTCTGGATGCCTATTGCTCTGGGGCGGCGATGGTACTGGTGACCGCTGTTGAGGCTGTGGGTGGCTCCGTGGTGTCGCCCTCGGTCTGTTCTTGTCCACAGGTAATACAGCGGCAGGACGAAGAAGTCTTGATGAAGCAGTTCTTTTCAGAGTGCTGGCTCTGGACCTTGAGGGCACCTGATTGGTCGACGCTGTAGTTTTGCATCCTGCTTTTAACACTGTGGTCTTGGATGAGGCTGGTCTTCCCACACACCCCTGGGCTGCTCCTGCAGAAACTTGTACGTTACCTGTGCTGCCACTGTGCTCATTGTGGACACTGGCCTTGGAAGGGATGCTCCTGGGGACACCCTGGGACTTGTAGGGCAGTCTGGAGGAGACAGCAGTAGAGGGCTGGTGGGGTCTGGAACCAGTGACTCTGGGCTTAGTGCTGCCGTTGGCTGAGGAGGTTCCAACCTCTGTCTGGGACCTCTGATGACCTCCGGAGGCACTGCTGCAGACATCTCTTCCCTGCCTCAGCCTGGCTGCTGGAGGGAGAGCCTGGGAGGCTGAGGCAGGGGCTCCTCTGGCTCTGTTGAGGGATGGCCATACTCCAAGTCTACTCTTAATCCAGAAACCTTTGTTTGCAATTACAGAGATCATACGTTTCCTGTAGGTCTTGACCAGGTTTGCACACACTGCAGCAGGGATTTTGGCCCACTCCTCCATACAGACCTTCTCCAGATCCTTCAGGTTTCGGGGCTGTCGCTGGGCAATATGGACTTTCAGCTCCCTCCAAAGATGTTCTATTGGGTTCAGGTCTGGAGACTGGCTAGGCCACTCCAGGACCTTGAGATGCTTCTTACGGAGCCACTCCTTAGTTGCCCTGGCTGTGTGTGTTTCGGGTCGTTGTCATGCTGGAAGACCCAGCCACGACCCATCTTCAATGCTCTTACTGAGGGAAGGAGGTTGTTGGCCAAGATCTCACGATACATGGCCCCATCCATCCTCCCCTCAATACGGTGCAGTCGTCCTGTCCCCTTTGCAGAAAAGCATCCCCAAAGAATGATGTTTCCACCTCCATGCTTCACGGTTGGGATGGTGTTCTTGGGGTTGTACTCATCCTTCTTCTTCCTCCAAACACGGCGAGTGGAGTTTAGACCATAAAGCTCAATTTTTGTCTCATCAGACCACATGACCTTCTCCCATTCCTCCTCTGGATCATCCAGATGGTCATTGGCAAACTTCAGACGGGCCTGGACATGCGCTGGCTTGTGCAGGGGGACCTTGCGTGCGCTGCAGGATTTTAATCCACGACGGCGTAGTGTGTTACTAATGGTTTTCTTTGAGACTGTGGTCCCAGCTCTCTTCAGGTCATTGACCAGGTCCTGCTGTGTAGTTCTGGGCTGATCCCTCACCTTCCTCATGATCATTGATGCCCCACGAGGTGAGATCTTGCATGGAGCCCCAGACCGAGGGTGATTGACCGTCATCTTGAACTTCTTCCATTTTCTAATAATTGCGCCAACAGTTGTTGCCTTCTCACCAAGCTGATTGCCTATTGTCCTGTAGCCCATCCCAGCCTTGTGCAGGTCTACAATTTTATCCCTGATGTCCTTACACAGCTCTCTGGTCTTGGCCATTGTGGAGAGGTTGGAGTCTGTTTGATTGAGTGTGTGGACAGGTGTCTTTTATACAGGTAACGAGTTCAAACAGGTGCAGTTAATACAGGTAATGAGTGGAGAACAGGAGGGCTTCTTAAAGAAAAACTAACAGGTCTGTGAGAGCTGGAATTCTTATAATAATAATAATATGCCATTTAGCAGACGCTTTTATCCAAAGCGACTTACAGTCATGCGTGCATACATTTTTTTTTTGTGTATGGGTGGTCCCGGGGATCGAACCCACTACCTTGGCGTTATAAGCGCCGTGCTCTACCAGCTGAGCTACAGAGGACCACTTACTGGTTGGTAGGTGATCAAATACTTATGTCATGCAATAAAATGCAAATGAATTACTTAAAAATCATACAATGTGATTTTCTGGATTTTTGTTTTAGATTCCGTCTCTCACAGTTGAAGTGTACCTATGATAAAAATGACAGACCTCTACATGCTTTGTAAGTAGGAAAACCTGCAAAATCGGCAGTGTATCAAATACTTGTTCTCCCCACTGTGTGTATATATATATATATATAACTCAGCAAAAAAAAGTATATATATATATATATGCATGATGTCTGTCTGGTATAGGTCTGTTTGGTGGTTGATACTGACTATTATTCTTCTGGAGTCTTTACGTTATGGTATCCTGGTTTGGGAACACAGATGTCAATAATGACTGTGTTATCGCTTCATATTTTCTATATCAACATGATTTTATATTTTGTCAAAACGTTATTCATGCTACACTGTCTTACAGCTTTAAAACGCACAAACGCAGATACTGGGTCTTTTTATTTGTTATATGTTCTTTTTTATATAATCTTCATCTGTGTGTACGCATGAGATAGTTATTTAAGGGAAAGGGGCATCTTTGCTCTATTCGATCAAAGTGATGTAATAAATGAACACATATTTGCAATAAATTAACACATGTATCCTTCATTGTGATTCAGGTGTATCCGTCTATTACTCACGTTCAGCTTTCATCAATTCAAGGACGCTGTTGTAAGGTCCATACACACGTTAAAAGTCAACTCGACTGAGTAGAAAACAGTTTTATTTTCTTCAAGTGAAGGTTGATGAGTTGGCTAAAGTCTGTTCAGGGTGCTGCGTTCCAGAATGTTCAGATAGAAATGTATTGTGTAGAACAGATATGATTGCCTGTCATGTAGAATAGGACATCATGTCAGCTCTATTCATTCTAATCAGGGAGAGTGATGTTTGTGTCTCTCTCCCTAGATCATCCCAGATCCAGGGGAATTATAATCCAGTATTTAGACCAGCTGATGTGAATGACTGAGTCTACCAGAGGGATCTTTTCAATGAAGTTAAACATTCAGAACATAACAGAATAGATATACAGATATTACATTCATTGAAGCTGCAAGCAGCATTCCGGGGTCATCCTAGCACAAGGCCGGAACCCCACAATGCTCTGTTTATAGTCGTGCATAGGGTTTTGACTGGGGAATACAGCTACGACTGGAAGTCTGGGCCTCCCGAGTGGCGCAGTGGTCTAAGGCACTGCATCGCAGTGCTAGCTGTGCCACTAAAGATCCTGGTTCGAATCCAGGCTCTGTCGTTGCCGGCCGCGACCGGGAGACCCATGGGTCGGCGCACAATTGGCCCAGCGTCGTCCAGGGTAGGGGAGGGAATGGCCGGCAGGGATGTAGCTCAGTTGGTAGAGCATGGCGTTTGCAACGCCAGGGTTGTGGGTTCGATTCCCACGGGGGGCCAGTATGAAAAATAATGTATGCACTCACTAACTGTAAGTCGCTCTGGATAAGAGCGTCTGCTAAATGACTAAAATGTAAAAATGTAAGTTACTTTTTTTGTAGCAGGTTAGGAGACTGAGGTTAAGGTTAGGGAAAGGATTAGCTAAATGACTCTCCTAACCTGCTATGAAAAGTAACTTCTGGTCGTAGCTGTACTCCATCTAGTCACAACCCCCGCATAGCACTGCCATATTCTACTGTCCTTATGTACATCATATTTACAAAATTGCATGACTAATTCAACAGTCCAGAAGTTATAGCCCTAAAGTGTGCTATAGCGCCATCAACTGGTCTGGAAATGCCATTTTCGTTTACAATAATGATAGGGTTCCTGCACCTTCAGTGCTAGGAACCATAATTCAAATATTAAATTGATTCATTGTATAAACTACAATGTGATTTCATTACGCTGACAAAAGAGAGAGGAGTTTGATCGCCATCTTGTGGTGGTAAAAGGAAGTTACAGGTAAAAACATGAGAAAGGTGATTCATCCTCAATTACTTGACCACATGAACAGGCAATTTGGGTTGACACTAATTGGTTAATCAACAGCTGAAACTTGATCTGACTGGTTGGTCAGCTGTTCAGTGTCTCTCTTACTGGGTGTTGGGGTTACCCTATGGTTGCTCCTGCTTTGGCCACTGGGCTTTCAAGGCCTCCTCAGTGTTGATCTCATTGAATAACTTCCCTCTGTTAGTATTGGTACAGGACTGATTAGTCATCACATGGTATTATCCAGCTAGACACAACAGGACAGAGAGACACATAAACACACACTGGGGTCAACACTGCCCGTCCTGTGTTGTGTGCGCTGAGAGCCCTACCTGTGAGGTGTGTGTCTGTGTGTTTCAAAGCCAGGACCAGACGCAGGGTCTAGTCTACAGAACGTCCTACTGGGAGGTTATTCAGGGTACACTGTCTATGATGAACAGACCCCTGGAGAAGAGGAGTGGTAGAGGAGACACACAGGTAATGTGTTTATGTTTTTGTGCGGGAATTGGTTGAGTGTGTGTGTTAATCCTGCCTGAGTGTGTTTCCCGGGCCTTCCATGTAGACTCCGAAGTCCTTGGCGATCTGGTGAGTGATGTCAGAGAGAAGAGGGATTCTCATTGGTCCCAGCCCACCCTGCTTCCTGAGAGTGTTGATTCTGTTTTCATCAATAGGCTCTATTCACGCATCACTTCCGCATTGGCGTAAGGATGCTTGGGCATTTCCGGTTACCGGAAAAAAACATTAGACAGTGACAGTAGACCGTTATGATGGCAGAGATGAAGTTTACAAGGTGTTTGCTGGAGTTGCCTAAAGTATCTGTTAATGATATACGGAGAGTCGTCCGGACATCCACGTAGCAAACTGGATAAAGGCTTCACATTTTACGTTTCTTATTTTCTTTGCAACTTTGAAGGTAATATGCTAACGCTAGCTAGCCTTAGCTAGAAGCCTTGCTTTGGTGTTTTAAGTCATGACTCCGTCCTGCTTCAGGTTAATCATGCTTTAAATAAAGTTTAATCATGTGTATATACCTCTCACTTCATGTGTTTGTACTTTTATGAAAGTATCAGGTAAAAACAGGGCTACAAATGAGATCTCTGTGAGAGCCCACTGCTACCGCTCAATGAAGAAACTAAAGCCACCACACCAGCTGAGAGTAGGACTAGATTAAGTGACACGTTCAAAGTTCTGTTGATCTTGTTCAAGGTTCCGTTCAACATGTTTTACTCGGTTAATGTTACCACAGCGTTGATTGCCATTGCTAAGAGAACACTTTAGAACTTTAGTGGTTTTCACGATAGCTGAACAGTGGTAGCCTAATACAGACCAGGGTAGCTGAGTGGGAATTGCCATGCTTTGCTGTTGGGTCTGTTGTAAACAAATTGGAGTTTGGTTTGAAATGTAAACAATAATGAGATTACTACTTTTTCCTGACTTGATGACTGCAATGACAGTAACATATTCCACTCAGCTATTCTTCAAACTGCTGATGTTCTACTCAAAACTGTCCTTTCATCTTTACTTCTTTCTTTATAAACATATGGCCCAACTTCCTTGCTTTTGTACTTGATGTTTCTACTTTTCAAGAGGAATTAGGAGCAAAACCTTCACTCTACTGTTGTTATTGGTACTAGGCTACAATGTTGCACCACTCACCTACTGCTCTGCCAATACTGTTTGAAGGTAGGTAAATGGCACAAGACAATAGGTAAGTGGTGGGAGACAGTAGGAAAGTGATGCAGAAAGCACAAAAGTGACACGAGACAGTAGATAAGTTGCTTACACCAGTAAAAAGTAGAAAGAACAAGTTTTGCTCCTACTCCTGCTGCTGTAGACCCTCGTCTTTCAAAACCCATTAAATTATGCTTCTGTGTATTTCAGATGACATTGCGTGATTCACAGCCAGTTGTGCTTGTTAAAAGCTACTGTTCCTGTGTGGCTGGGTGTGGGATATGCAATCATTTGGTTGCATTACTATATCAGCCTGCCCATTACTCTGAATGTGACATGTCTGTCGTCCCTCCTGTACTTTTGTGCACTGAAACAGAGCAGAAGTGGCATAAACCACGAACAATGGTTTGTATCATTTCAATACCAGACAGTTGTGTCACATGCATACTAGCAGCTCTCCTAATACCATCTCATAAATAAATAGGGAGTGAAGCCAGGACCTGTGGATGCCATGGTTGTAGTGAAGCCCAAACCAGATGCTACTCCGGCAAGCGGAATTAGGTATGCAGAGTCCAATTAAATAGGCAGACTACAATGTGTTGTGAAATAAATGTTATTAATCGCTGTTAGATTCTGGTGTATTTCCTAGTGAACCCTTTACTTTTCCTGATATTGTTATTCCAGATCTACACTTTGAAACCATCCATTGAAACAGCACTGGAACAGCTCCCTTCTTCAGACGTCTGCGCCCAGCTGGAGTCGGAGGCTCTATCACATCTTCACTTAGAAAGTGTCGGCTGCAGACTCGTGTGTTTGTTGTAAGAAAGTTGACTCGTCGAATGTTAATCACCCACCGTTTATGTAATTCACTGTCTTTGGGAAAAGTAAAAAAAACTAACAGAAGAATTGCCTCTGGCAGACACTGTACATTGCGGCACACAGCAGTGATGGCTGGAAGAGCTGTCATCCCGTTTTTGAAAGGACACTTTCGTACGTTTACACGTCATCGTGTTATAAGTCAAGACGAAGTATTACAAGTAAAAACATTAAGATAAACAACAACAACGACGAAAATTAACCGTTTCGGATGTTTTTGACGACAAGCATCCAATGCTAGCATACGGTAGCACAGCATTCTACGATAACCGGAAGTTTACATCCATCCTTACATTTAACCGGAAATACGTCATGCTCGCCTGTGCATATCGCCTATCAACCAACCAATCAATCTACCAATGAAATTGTATTTGTATAGCGGGGTCAGGAGTTAGAGTTTGTACCAGGCCAGGGATGTGAACTGGGAGTCTGTAGAGCAGGCGACCACCTCGGCCCCGACGGCACACTCACTGAATGCTATCACCTCAGTGGGACAGACAAATGTACCACACACACTTTTACTGAACTGTATAGGGATAGGTAATTCTCGAAGGACCATTACACAACTTTCATTTAAAAAATGATCGGTCTCTTACTCCAGCTCTAAGAGATTAGCTGAAACCAGATAGATTGAAGTACTCACAATTCCAGGAATCTTCCTCTGTAGTCATACAGATTGAACTGTTCATTAACCACTGCTGTACCCACCATGTCTGGAGCAAATAGGGTTATGTGCCTAGCTCAAGGGCACATCGACATATTTTTCACCTAGTCAGCTCGGGGATTTGAATCAGCGACCTTTAGGTTACTGGCCCAACACTCTTAACCGCTAGGCTACCTACCGCCGTACATACTGTATGTAGGCATTTGTAGGCTAATTTATACTGTGCACAGGTGAGAGTGAGATCAGGTGAATGGCAGGTCGGACTCACTCTTGCCTTTCTCAGGTGCAGGGAACGGCCGGGGACATGTGGGCAATGCTCCTTCTTGCTGTCCGACGCTTCAGCAGAATTACAGAAGTAGAAATAAGTGAATAAACTATTTCCCTCTGATGACAGAGACAGTTCCAGGGGAGCTACTGAGACTGACAGCAGCTGGAGATTATTGATTTTTCCCATGCCGGAAGAGCAGTGAAAATGATAGAACATTTAAGGATACAGCCACGCAATAACTGAAATAGAGGTCAAGGCCTAGATATTGAACGATAAGAATGCGGGTGTACTTCTGTGCAGGCATGCACCTGTAGTTTATAATCTTTATTATCATCATGTAAATTCCTTACGTATTGGCCAACCCCGGGATAGTTGTAGTTGGCCACCCGACCCAGCACAAGAAGTGTCAGCTGATCTGTGTTGTCAACGTTAATCTGTTAGCTATGTCTGCTGTTCTGTACTGGTAGAGCAGAGTGTCCAGTAGCATGCAAAATATGTTGACCCTCATCTCGAACGTGTTCCGACTGGGCAACGCCAGCAAGAATGTGGTACGTAGCCTACTGACAACCTGCGTGCGGCTGTCCATGGTGCTGAAGGCTAGCTAGGTGATTTCGCACTGAAATAACAAGCTAGCTAGCTAGACTTGCCGGATGAGAGGTTACTAGTAGCTTCAGTCCCAGCTAGCAGTGCTGACCTTGTAGATGTAGGCCTGATAACATGGTCACTCAGTCCGAACTCAACAACACAATACCCAAATCGATTTACTGTAGCTGTCTACTGCGGGTATTGTTCATATGAGTTGTTACATACATTGACAGCCTGTCCATGCATGCTCTATTCTGCCAGATTCATTTTTCAACAAAGATGTGTAGGGTGTATCGGGATACCAAAGAGTATTGCAATACTCTTCTATTTATTTCCTATAAGTTCACAATTATAAAGAACAGGGGAAAAGGGAATAAGAACATCAACAAAACAGTGGCTGTGGTTCGCGCTTATATCGGCGCTCTCCATGGTGCTTAATGTTTGTGCGCCGGTATAAGGGCACAACGAGGGATTTCCGCATGCTAGTTAGATGCTTCATTGTACCTGCGGCTTCTACAAGTTTGCCGCACGGTGGCACTGTAATGATGGTGTGTAGGCTAGTGATGGTTGGTGCTATTTGTGTACTAATCTCTTGGCTGTCTGCCTCTGGTCTGTAGACTGTCCTCTGTAATGTTCTCTGTGAACTTCAGCACACCCGCTCAGCCGCATTCTCTCACCTTTCATGGTTAGAAAGATATTAGGCCCTAGGGGCTATATGAATTTTTGCACATGTTCCCCTAGTGTTTTAAAGATGAATTATTAGACACCACTCACTTTCTCCTCTCTCTCCCAATGACTCATTTTCCCCTACCTCCCTCCCTCTATCACCCTCTCTCGCTCTCCCCGGCTTTCTTGTAGGGAGCCCAAACAGTGTCAGAGGTAAGGAGCTCATAGCTCTACTGTGCAGCCTGTCCTGTAGGCCTGATATAGCCTGTAAGACCATGAACACAAAACAGCTCATATAGAATACAGCCTAGTGTGTACTGATAGAGGCACTGCCTGACTCTTTGGTGCGTTGTGGTAGGTAGTGATAGTGATTGTTCTGACTACAGATTAGTCTGCTTTGTCCCAAACCTTTGCTCCTCCCTACTAGGGCAGCTGTCAGACTCCTCTGGCAGTGCTCTGGTCTGATTGGATGGTTCCTCTGTGCCCCAGCTGCTGATTGGTCTGTCCGAATACGTCGATATAACCTCACCGTCTGCCCCAGCAACACCCCGACAACCACCAATACAGACAGTTAGTACCAGAGCACCCAGACCTAGTTAGAGCCAGCCAGCCAGATCCAAACAGAGAAACCTGAACCTCAAACAGCCACGTTCCTTCTGCAGAATCCCCAGTCTTCCTTTCACACTGTGGCCCAGGGCAGGGGTGGATTTAGCCTGGGGAGGAGGGTGGCTATTGGACTTGTATTTCCTGTGTGTGTATCGCTCACTTGTGTCAATCTCTCTCTGCAGGGGGCCAGGATGGTGGTGTCCTCACGCTCCTTCGCTGACTTCACCCCACAGGCCAGCTTTGACATCAAGGTGAGTCGACATACACTTTTACTGCACCCTGCTTAACAAGCCCTAGATATGACAAGGGAACTTCCTTCTTCAAACTGTTATCTGATTGGTTGGTTGAGCTGTCTGTCTCCTTTTTTTTTTTTTTAAATTTTAGTCATTTTTAGCAGACGCTCTTATCCAGAGCGACTTACAGGAGCTATCAGGGTTAAGTGCCTTGCTCAAGGGCACATCGACAGATTTTTCACCTAGTCGGCTCGGGGATTAGAACCAGCGACCTTTCGGTTACTGGCACAACGCTCTTAACCACTAAGCTACCTCCCTTCCCTGTACTTTCCAATAGAAGTGTGAGCTGCACCGTCTGGTGGAGGGCCCCTCTGTGACGGCGGTGTTGACAAGAGAACAGGGCCTCCAGTACTACAGGACCATGCAGACCATGAGACGCATGGAGCTGAAGGCTGACCAGCTTTACAAGCAGAAGATCATCAGAGGCTTCTGCCACCTTTATGACGGACAGGTCACAACACACACAAAACAAACACACACATTAGATGAGCATATAAACACAGTCTCAGGGACACAAGAACATACACACGCTCCCCTCCTCTCTCCTAGCTGCTGTTGGTTGTGTTGCAGGAGGCGTGTGCGATGGGCATCGAGGCAGGCATCAACCCAACAGACCACCTGATAACGGCGTACCGGGCCCATGGCTACACCTTCACAAGGGGCGTGTCTGTAAGAGAGATCTTGGCTGAACTCACAGGTGGGATACACCTAGACACTAATCTAAGGTCAGATGTCTATTTCCCCCTAATGGTTACAGTCAGGATGTAAGGAAGATGAACTGATCTTAGATCTCTGCAACTTCTACCTGAAATAGATCTCTAATCTCTTTCTCTGTTCATTTTCTCTTCCTCTTCCCCCCCCCCCTCTCTCTCTCTCTCTCTTTGTCTGTCTCTCTTTCTCTCAATCTCTCTCTCTCTCTCTCTCACACTCTCTTCCTCTCACTCTCTCTCTCTCTCTCACACGCTTTGTCTCTCTCTCTCTCATTCTTTCTGTCTCTCTCTCGCTCTCTCTCTCGTGATCTCTTTCTCTCACTCTCTCTCCCCTTCTCTCAGGTCGTAGAGGGGGTGTGGCCAAGGGTAAAGGTGGTTCTATGCACATGTACGCTAAACACTTCTATGGAGGGAACGGAATCGTGGGGGCTCAGGTAACTATCTGAACAGGTCACTTACTCATGCACACGCACGCACACGCACACACACACACAAACCAATGCATTCTCACTGTGTGTTTCTGTGTGTCTACAGGTTCCATTGGGGGCAGGTGTGGCCCTAGCCTGTCAGTACCAAGGAAACAACCAGGTGTGCGTGGCGCTGTACGGAGACGGAGCAGCCAACCAGGTGAGATCTATCTAACGGTTACAATTAAGTTATTCAATCATCATCATCATCAACATCATCTATTCTCTTGTCCAATCAGGGCCAGATCTTTGAGTCGTTCAACATGGCGGCTCTGTGGAAGCTGCCGTGTATCTTCATCTGTGAGAACAACAAGTTCGGCATGGGGACGTCTGTAGAGAGGTCCTCCGCTAGCACTGAGTACTTCAAGAGAGGAGACTATATACCTGGAATCAAGGTAGGACACACACACACAGTCAGTGAGTGTATCTTTGCTATATTAACCCCTATGTCCCTGTGGTGTAGGTGGATGGCATGGACGTGCTGTGTGTGAGGGAGGCCATCAAGTTCGCTGCAGACCACTGCAGAGCTGGGAAGGTGAGTTCTGATTTGTGCAAAGATTAAAAAGTAACTGGTTTAAGAGCATGAAGAGTGTTAAGAATCACTTTGTCTCAGACAGTCTAATGTCAGAGGGCTGATCAGTTTGTACTATCACACCAGTGTCTCTTGCTTGACAGAGGGAGGCTCAGTGACCAGTAGAATAAAGACACTCTGTGGAAGAGACTACAGGACAGAACTGTAACTGGTCCCAGTTTAACCAACTCAAATGTCTTTGCTAGCAAACGAGACGCGGTTTCCAAAACTGCAAGGCACAGACCATATGTCAGTTCTATATCTTTGCTGCAAGGTGTCTCCAGTAATGTTAACTTTTTTATGTTTTATGAAGTCTCCACTTTCCAAGCGTGTAGAATTCCCTGATCAGGTCATTCAGCAGTGTCATAGCAACGTTGGCTAGCTTTTTGAGTCTCCTGGCTTTGAAACCTCTCTGCCAGGGTCCTATTGTGATGGAGCTGGAGACCTATCGTTACCATGGACACAGCATGAGCGACCCCGGGGTTAGGTGAGATGTGATCTCTGACTCCTGACCCTGTGACCCTGTGACCGTCACCTGACCCCCGGTCTCGCTCCGCCCCCTCACTCCTCACCACACCTCTCTCTCCCTCTCACTCTTTCTCTCTCTCTTGCCCTCCACCTTGTGTAGCCACTCTACATCACTCTCCAATTTAGCCTGTCCTCTAGGCTCACCCAGTGTAGTATAGTGTTGGTTTGGGACGTGCCAAATAATACTCTACCATCGCTTCCTTTCTGGGGTGCGCAAGCTCTCTCTTGCTCTATCGCTCTCTCTGTGTGTGTTTCTCTCTCTCTCTCATCAACGAAGGGCTGGAGCCGAACCCTGCTAATTAGGTCTAACTCCTCTTCTTCTTCTTGTGTGTGATGTAACGTCCTGTAGCTACCGTTCACGTGAGGAAATCCAGGAAGTGCGCAGTAAGAGTGACCCCATAACCATGCTGAAGGAGCGTATGCTATCCAACAACATGGCTTCTGTGGAGGAGATCAAGGTACTCACACACACACACACACACACACACACACACACACACACATAGACACAAACACATACAGACACACACACGCAGACACACACACACATAGACACAAACACACATAGACACAAACACAGGTGGTCCAATTCACTTTTTCTTTCTTTATTTTCTTCCTTCCCTCATTATTTCCCCTTTCTTTCTTTCTTTCTTTCTTTCTTTCTTTTCGTTCTTTCTTTCTTTCTTTCTTTCTTTCTTTCTTTCTTTCTTTCTTTCTTTCATTTCTTTCTTTCTTTCTTTCTTTCTTTCTTTCTTTCTTTCTTTCTTTCTTTCTTTCTTTCCTCCTTCCTCCCTACCATTAGGAGATAGATGTAGAGATCAGGAAGGTAATAGAGGACGCGGCCCAGTTCGCGATCTCTGACCCTGAGCCGCCATTGGACGATCTCTGCAACCACATCTTCGCCAACAATCCACCCATGGAGGTCCGTGGGACCAACCCCTGGGTCAAACTGAAGTCTGTCAGCTAGACACACACACCTGGACCAAACTACAGTCCAACAGCTACACATCCCCTCCTACCCTCTGCAACACCAACCCCTGGGTGAAAGTCTACTCCTCCTCTCCTCCTTCTCCCTTCTCTTATTCCCTCATCAATTGTCTCTAAATGCACTATATGACAGGAGGTCATGAACCTGTAGGTCAGAGTTCAGTCTGTAGCAGCAATCTAAACCAGTCTGTCTCCTCTGACACTGTGACGTCACTGGTATTTATTGACACTGTATAGAGTATACTATGTAGTTTTATATTGATGTATTCTCCTGACACTGAGGGACCACCTGTCTGTAGATTGGAGGTGTATGGCTTAGGGCAGGCTTTTGTTCCAGACTAGCACTAACACACCTGATTCAATCAGACATTGATTAGCTGGATTTGGTGTGTTCACGCTGATACTTACTAAGTTTACACACCCTATAACTCTCCAGGACCAGGGTTGGCTACCCCCGGCTAAGGGAGTGTGTGGGGGGGTGGTTCTAGGTTAAACCAAGTTCATCTCCCAGTAAGGTTTCTGACTGTTAGTATGTATTACCTCTGACCCAGATGTTATTGTAGCACCGTTGCACTTTGACTAGATAGATAAACTAACGAGACATCATACAGAAAGTAATTATATCATCATAGAAAAAGGGCCCAGTAATGGTAGACTATTTCTCTCTCCTCTAACTTTCTTCCTCCCTCTACCCTGGCCTCCATCCCTCTCTCTGTGAGGAGCAGATACCGATCCAAGCACTAACAGAAGAAATTAAAAACTGAACGATTGTAATAGTTTGTTGTGATTTGACTGAAGCAATAAAATTGGCAGAGACTGTATGATGTGTTAGTTGTTTGTGTCTGATGACACTGCATAGTTCTGTGTGCAGAAACTAATAATGTACCAGATGAGATGAGTTACTCAGATGGAACTAATAATGGACCAGATGAGATTAGTTACTCAGATGAAACTAATAATGTACCAGATGAGATGAGTTACTCAGATGAAACTAATAATGTACCAGATTAGATTAGTTACTCAGATGAAACTAATAATGTACCAGATGAGATTAGTTACTCAGATGGAACTAATAATGGACCAGATGAGATGAGTTACTCAGATGAAACTAATAATGTACCAGATGAGATTAGTTACTCAGATGGAACTAATAATGGACCAGATGAGATGAGTTACTCAGATGAAACTAATAATGTACCAGATGAGATTAGTTACTCAGATGGAACTAATAATGGACCAGATGAGATGAGTTACTCAGATGAAACTAATAATGTACCAGATTAGATTAGTTACTCAGATGGAACTAATAATGTACCAGATTAGATTCGTTACTCAGATGGAACTAATAATGTACCAGATTAGATTAGTTACTCAGATGGAACTAATAATGTACCAGATGAGATGAGTTACTCAGATGAAACTAATAATGTACCAGATTAGATTAGTTACTCAGATGGAACTAATAATGTACCAGATGAGATGAGTTACTCAGATGAAACTAATAATGTACCAGATTAGATTAGTTACTCAGATGGAACTAATAATGGACCAGATGAGATGAGTTACTCAGATGAAACTAATAATGTACCAGATGAGATGAGTTACTCAGATGGAACTAATAATGTACCAGATGAGATGAGTTACTCAGATGAAACTAATAATGTACCAGATTAGATTAGTTACTCAGATGGAACTAATAATGTACCAGATGAGATGAGTTACTCAGATGAAACTAATAATGTACCAGATGAGATGAGTTACTCAGATGGAACTAATAATGTACCAGATTAGATGAGTTACTCAGATGGAACTAATAATGTACCAGATTAGATGAGTTACTCAGATGAAACTAATAATGGACCAGATGAGATGAGTTACTCAGATGGAACTAATAATGTACCAGATTAGATGAGTTACTCAGATGGAACTAATAATGTACCAGATTAGATGAGTTACTCAGATGAAACTAATAATGGACCAGATGAGATGAGTTACTCAGATGGAACTAATAATGGACCAGATGAGATTAGTTACTCAGATGAAACTAATAATGTACCAGATGAGATGAGTTACTCAGATGGAACCATTTTGCTTCCACCTATCCAGTTCCTTTTACATCCATGAATCTAAAACATCATCTACCAGCAGATGTCACCACAGCGCTAGTCCATGCCCAGACAGTCCAGCTGTATCTTGAGGAGAGAAGACAGAGATTAATGTTCTGTCACCAAGTTCAGTCTGGCAGTCCAGTATAAATATCTCTGGTGTAGTTGGGTTGTAATTATACTGTTCCCGCCCACGGCACATCTTCAGTCACACACACACACCTCTTTAATCACAGATAATGACTCTGTGTCAGTTCATGGTTCTCATTATCCTTCATAGGGCCCATACAGTGGATATACTATAAATAGCTCATAATAAAGCAGTCTCCTAAGGACCTCCAACATCAAACTTTAACTGGTGACAAACGATTCATACAGTCAGAGACAGACCCCTCCAAAGTCAAGGGTGGCAATTAAACTGCTAATATTAAGGTATACTATGTTGGGGCAAATTGTAGGCAATGATAAAGCCTATGATTCGCCTATCTACATCATATAATTAGTATAGCCTTATCTATATCATAGATCATTTTCAACACACAACCTGCAGCATATTTCAGTTCATCTCCTGAATAGCTCTGTGTTGATCAGAGTCATATTCTGCACTCTGGCTGTGGGCTCTTCATGGTTACAGAACCGTTAGCCTACAAAGCACCACCTTCACCATATAATAAAGTCCCTCTTCTCTTCTCCCCCGCTGTCTCACGTGCCCATCCCGGCTAGAGCGCAACTCCTAGAGAAAGCCCCCTCACCTGCCTGTGTCCTGCTTGGATGAGGTGTCCGGTACTCCGGTTATAAGCGGGCCCCGCCCCCAAAGAGGACGCAGGCGTGACTCGGCAGTCTGATAGGTAGGTAAGACACCCGGCGCCATATTGGGACAAAACGGAAGTGAGTGAGTGAGTGAGTGAGTGAGAGAGAGAGAGAGAGAGAGAGAGAGAGAGAGAGAGAGAGAGAGAGAGAGAGAGAGAGAGAGAGAGAATAAGCAGTGGAAACACGCCATAGTGACACAAGGGCGAAAGTGGAGAGCGAGACAGTTTCCGTAAAAGGCGTTACGTAGCTCAGCTAGTGTAATGTAGTGAACATTATTCCGCTAGAGAAAGAAGGGACGGCCCCTGCTTTAGAAACTCCTTGTCTTCTGATACGGGGCTAACGCGATAGCCTACTAGAATAGAACAGAGCTTTAGGTTACTACAGTGATTGCCTACAGTCCTGTCTGGAGCGAAGCTTTAGCGCTCTAACTAATAGACAACACTAGAATAGATCAGAGGAAACCAGGACAGCTCGAGCGCCAAGATGCCCCTGGCACAGTTGCCAGATCCCTGGCAGAAGATGTCACTGGGGCGGGCGGCAAGCGAGGTGAGTGAGTGTGTGTGTGTGTGTGTGTGTGTGAGAGAGAGAAAGAGAGACAGACACAGAGAGAGAGAGAGTATTCATTTCCATCACCAGAATACTGTCTGTGTGAATTGATGTGAACAGATTATTATATTGAAGCGTCACGTTGACTGTCTCTGAGCAGCACTTCATAGATATAAGCAAACGCGTAGCACCACGGGGCTGAGGCTGGCTACTAAAACCAAATGGATAAGTTGCTGAGCCTCGGATAATAGAGAGAGAAAGAGAGAAAGGCGAGGGGGCGGTCATCCGACAGACCACACGATTTAGGATGCGGCTTTCAGCGGGCATGTGTGTTTCCTGGATGATGCGGTTAAAGCAGGCGTGACGTGTTTAAAGAGAAGTGAGTAGAGTCGCCCGCGTGTGAATGTCTGAAGACATCCTCTTATTCACACCTGATTCATAATTATACCCTAGTGTACAGTACACAGCCCCCCCGCTCTCTATCTATCCCTTTCTCTGTTCTCTGTCTCTCAAGCTCCATAACCAGAGGAAGAACAGATTATTGTTTAAAATGTGTGTGTGTTCTCTGTGCTCTGTGGGAGATTAGTTAAGGGAAGTTGTCAGAATATTTCTAGGGCACAACAGAACTCTCACTCACTCATCCACTCACTAATTTACTCACTCAATCATTCCTACTCATGTAAGCAAGTGAACAATCGTAGAGTATCGGCAGCAGGTAGACTTTTAGACTGTTCAGCCCTCAGGCAATACTGGTCCATTAGACACATACACTGTGTGTGAGAGAGACAGAGTAAACCATGACAGAGAGACATTAACCCTTTCATGACAGAGGCTGTGAGATGACTTCGTATTTCCCAGACTTAAAGCACATCTAACAGCTCACGCTAAGAGCCAGATACGAGAGAAGGCCGCGAGAGCAAAGAGCCTATCCCCCCCCCCCCCCTCTCTCTCTCTCTCTCCCCCCCCCCCTCTCTCCCTCTCTTTATCTTTCAATCATCCTGTTACATGTTTATCAGGCTTACTGCTGCACTGAACTAAGTAATAATAATGATAAGTGCTACTATTATGAATAATAATGATAATGTTACAGCCTCAGTCTATTCTGACTGATCCAATCACTTTCATATTCAGAAGCATGTGACCTTACAGCTCCAGTACAAAATCACTTCAACAGTTTCACTATATTTGACAGTACATCCATTCCCAAGTATTTAGCTATGTGGTAAAATGGTAATGACACAGTAATAAATTACAACATTGTTTCTTTGGGATTCATTACAACTAGCAACACCAGGTATTTAGAAATTGTGTTGACCTGAAATAAAATGGACATGTTACAATAACTAATAGTTGTTTATTGTGTTGTTGTAGGATGCCCATCGACATGTTCTGGAGGATTCTATTGGAGAGGACGATTCTATGTCCTGTAACGTAAGTCTACATTTACATTTATAGTTTTAGTCATTTAGCAGACGCTCTTATCCAGAGCGACTTACAGTTAGTGAGTGCATACATTTTCATACTGCCCCCCCGTGGGAATCGAACCCACAACCCTGGCGTTGCAAACGCCATGCTCTACCAATTGAGCTACACGGGGCCTACACACTTCTCTCTCTCAATTCAAT